GCACCCAGTAAAGCTCACCATTATGGTTCTGCAATTCTATATACGAAAAGTTAAGGACCGTCTAGTAAAACTTACCTGACGAAGGTTAAAAATGGATATTACCCCACGAGGGAGATATAGGCAAGGTTTAGTGATTGAATAATGAAAACGCCTATAAAGTAAATATCTCGAAAAAGCAGTTAATTGCCCGAATTTAGAAGAGGAAAAAAAATGTTGTCTCCCACAAAAATGGGCAATACACCCATACAAATGCAATACAACTGTCAATGAATAGTAATCATCCAATGACAATGCGACTGCGTGTATGTGTCTTCACATGCTCTGGCATTGCCAGCCTACCCGGAAACGGCATCGGCCGAAGAGGCCTCGGGACCCGAGAGCCCAATGCGTCCGTTCTCGAGGCGAGCCAAATCGGCCGTCTCCGACCGTCTGTCGCCACGAGCAAAGGAGGCCCGTTGCGACGCCGTTTGGCCGCGCCCGGCCTGCGCCTCGTCGTCGCCACCGGCCGACGTTGTCACGGCCGCGTGAGTCTGCAACTGGCGTATTCGGCGTTGGCGACAGAGTCGTATCCACTGGCGCAGTTGTGCCAGCAGACAGCAGATGAGACAGGTGAGCGCCACTCCGCCAAAGATGCCGCCGACAAGACGGGTCAAATGCTCCTGTCGCTGGGCGGAGATGGAGTCGGCCCGTTCACTGGCCGTCATGCAGGCAGAGATCGCCTGCAGTTGGTCCTTCTGTTGCTGCTGCCCGCTCGGCGGGACGGCCGGAGACAAGTGTGAACTCGGCGGTGTTGGCAGCCCGACTGACAGGTAGACGGTCACGTTGCCGCTGCACAGAGCGCACTCTTGATCGATGCGCCCGGCTACAAGGGTTGCCAAACAGAAACAAAGGCGCCCATTTTAGATGTCTGACAAGCGGAGCTCGGACAATGTGATAACGTTAAACGGCCAATTTGATGTACGTGACAACAACCACAACCACAACGACAATCACAACCACAACCACAACGACGGGCAGGCGGAAGTAGAGCGAGGATGAAGATTAGGTCAGCAGCGTGATTAGTCGTGCCAATAGTGCCCTGGAAACGCTGAAATCCATCCGACCGGTTTGATAATATGCAGAATATACTCAAAAAGCAAGCGTAACAATAGCCATCCATTGCAGGCGAAGATGTGGTGACCACAAGCAGAAATATAAACACACAAAATCAGACATTTATCAAACGTTTCGCATCCCTTCACTGTTATCGGTGCCTAGGCAACTTATCCAAATTGCCTAATTATGGCCGGTACACTCAGAGAGGGGTGTGAAGAGCCTGAGATCGTGGAAGAATACAATAAAGAGACTGGCTATATTCACAAGAAATACAAAAAAGAAATAACAAATGCCATGGTAGAAGCGATTGACATCGGGCATGAGAGGATGGGTTAAAGTGAAGACTTGCATTTCGCATGAAAGTACATGATGAAGACGCCGGCTGGTTCGCGTTGTGCTGCAGCCGTTTGGGCTTAATACGACATTTCGGTAGATGCAGTCGACAAGACATCCTTCAAAGTTTTGCGCGAAAATGGGCTGAGCTTTCGTGCGTCCCATGACGAACATCATCAGAGCAAGGTAGCATCGTAACAACCGAATTCAAGCCAACGAGTCAAGAAAACTCACCGGAAAATCCCTACAAAGTGGTATATAAACTCTTTTTGATCTCACTTTGACCTCTTTGATCGGGTATAAAGTGACTTAACTTGAGGTTGTGCAAGAATCAGTCCCAGCAACTAAACACAGCAAGCGTAACAATATGCACCCATTCCAGGCGAAGATGTGGTGACCACAAGCAGAAATATAAACACACAAAATCAGACATTTATCAAACGTTTCGCATCCCTTCACTGTTATCGGTGCCTAGGCAACTTATCCAAGTTACCTCATTGTGGCCGGTACACTTAGAGAGGGGTGTGAAGAGCCTGAGATCGTGGAAGAATACAATGAAGAGACTGGCTATATTCACAAGATAAACAAAACAAAGTAACAAATGCCATGATAGAAGCGATTAACATCGAGCATGACAGGATGGGTTGAAATGAAGACTTCCATTTCGCATGAAAATACATGATGAAGACGCCGGCTGGTTCGCATTGTGATGCAGCCGTTTGGCATCAATACGCCATTTCGGTAGATGCAGTCGACAAGACATCCTCCAACGCTTTCGTGTGTCCCATGACGAACATCATCAGAGCAAGGTAGCATCGTCACAACCAAATTCACCGGCAAAACCCTACAAAGTGGTATATACATACTGTACATCTGACCTCTTTGATCAGGTATAAAGTGACTTAACTTGAGGATGTGTAAGAATCAGTCCCAATTGTGACGATGTTCCATCATGTGGCATGCAGAACGAAAGTCCGGCCAGTCCTCGCCAGAAATGTCGTATTAATGCCAAACAGCTGCAATTCAACACAAAATGGCTGACGTATTCAGGTGCAAGTGACCTACCAATCTCTTCACCATGCACTTCCGTAAGAAATAAAAGTGTTCACATCAATTGTATCTCATGATGCCTCTATGTTGGTCGCAGTCCACTTTTGATGCATAGTAGTTGTTTGACATTGTTTTCGCAACCTGACCATGTTGGCAGTAGACAAGCCGAGATGAACACACCTTGTCCGGAGGCCATAGTTACGCATCAGCATTTCCAGAGTCGGGAAGTGGACTTGAAGTACCATGGCCGATTCAGACCAGCCTTCCCAGCACACGAGTGGGGGATAGGTGGGGTGTGAATAGGTCTCATGATAACCGCACACAAGGGCACAAATGACCACAATTAAATGAGCAATAAATTGTGATGTATGGGATAGGTCAATAAGCCAGAACAGAAAGACAAGTGCTTTGCAGACAATCGGTCAAAGGATTGACTTCATTTGTCTCTTTGACGAGTTGTAGTGTTGTGTCAGGTCTGACAAGGCTGACTGACGATGCCGGCAAAACGTCTAGGAATGTACCAAGTCCATGGCCCGACTCTGGAGATAATCATGCATACTACTGACTCCGGACAAGATTGCTTCCTTTAAGTCTTTGAAACCCGCATTTTTTTTGTGTATTGGAGAAGATGTGCTGTATGGTAGTGCTCTGTGGAAGAGACAAAACATCGAGACACGGAGACACGAAGATTTCTTCCAACTAAACACTTTGCCGGATGTGAGGGTCAACAACTGGTGGTAATGAAAGATCGAATCGACCTAGTCTGGTACCTCCGAAGGCCGGCTGGCAAGAAGAGGTTCGGCCGATGGTCAGAGTGCCCTAGCCAGTGCTGAACATGTGATTTGAGGCCGTATGAAACTGACGCTTTGAAAAGACCATTGGGAAGAGGTCGACTGCATGAGGCAGAGCAGCAGCCTAAGGAAAAACCATGCTTCTGTAGAATAATCCAGTACATCTTTTCTTGAACCATCTTGTGGCCATGGATAATCGTGGTAGATATGTGCAAGTAAGCAACGCCTCGGGTCTCATGATCTGTCAATCGCTTGAGTGATCGACCCAAGTGGACGCTTACTCGTCATCTAAGGCCTCCTTGGCCCAATTTCACAATCAAGTTCGGTGATCCCACAGTGTCTAAAGTGCCCAGATCGCGATTCGCTCAACCTATTGCTAAGCCTTAAACTGAAATGAATCAATTTGCGTGTATATGCAGAATTGTATTGGCCTCAGCTCTATGGGAAGGCTTGGCAATGTATTGCACATCCGATTGAAGGCATCTTATGATGTGAACTGACATTGTTATAAGCTCATAAGCGCAACTATACCATAAATCTGCAAAAAATTGAAGCGATAGTGAATCGAATAATTGTATGCGAAGAAAAGTTGGGTTTCGAGGAATGTCTTGTTGAGCTTACTTCCATTTCTAGTGAAAGTGAGTGGTGAAGAGATTCGAAGCTCGGTTCCACCAGAAAACCACGGCGGATTCCTCTTGACCAGCTGTCGATTGGCTTTTCTGGAACATTCATGCTGACGCTGTTTCCGATGCAATCTCCTTCGATTCCGGTGAACAGGTGCAAAGCTTTCGTCCGTCATATGACGGACATCATCAGAGCGAGGTGCCATCGTCACAACAGAATTCAAGCTAACGAGTCAAGAAAACTCACCGGCAATTGGTATGCATACTCTACATCTGGCCCCTTTGATCAAGTTTAAAGTGATTTGGTTAGTTAAGGTCACATCTAAAATATAAATACCACTTTTTAGAGATTTTCCGATGAGTTTTCTTGACTCGTTGTTTTGAATTTTGTTGTTACAACGATTATGTTCGTCATAAGATGGACGAAAACTTGGCACCTTTTCACTGGAATCAAACGGAATTACGCCATT